TTGACTCGGATCCTCGGTATCCTCTTCGGTTTTCTTTGTCAACGAGACTTTAAAGAGTTTGGCCGATACTTCGAACAAATTCCTTGGAAATCGACCACTCGATAAAATAACTAACACGGAACTGAAGCAAATACTAATGAATCAGCCAGTGTATCGACCAAGACACATCGACGGGACGGAAAATTCTGTCGACGGAACGAGTGAATATCCTCGAGGTGGGGGCGCAACGGTCGAGCGAACGAAGGCGAGAACGTTCGCCGAAGAACCGCGACGTGCGTTCGATCGACAAAACGGACGAAAATGCGGTGGGACCGGGCCCAAAGACCCGTTCTTATAGGCTCAACAGCTTCGCCTTCAGGGTCGAAAAAGTAAGATTAAACGATTTTTCGCGAGCGTCTACGATTCGTTCATAGAATCGATGATCCTCGTTGAATAGGTCGGATCGGAAGCGCGTTTCTTTTCGTATCGGCGCGACTCGATCGTCGTTGTCGACGAATAGAACGAATAGAACGAGATAGGAAACGCGGCATTGAAACCTGTACTGCGAGGAAAATAGTTACGTTTCACGCCGCCTGGAATTAAGCTGACCGATTCGTTGGAGGGGAAATGGATTTTATTAACTGATCGAGTGGAAATCTTGGTCGAGCTGTTTCCAGAGATTCGCGCGGTGAATAGAGAGCCGCGTGACAGGTGGCTGCAGGGAAATTGAACTCCGCTATGGGAAGAATTCGACCTGGAAATCGACGAGCAAATTGGAACGTAATGTCGTCTCCTTGCTACATACGTGATATACGTTTCTTCGATTATCGTTATGAGATACGGATCATTAACGAATACAGGACGCTAACATTTGAAGAAAATCTTAATAATCCACGTAAATCACACGCGTAACGATTGATATGGCAGAAAAATTGCCTTTGTATGAAAATTGATGGATATAATTATATTTTAATTTATTTACCGTAGTCGTCGTAATGTTTGTGAAAGGAGGTGTACGTCTTTGGATCTAATATTACAAAAAGGATATACAGGCAGCGTCACATTAATGTTTCAATATCTTTTAAATCTGAGTAACCTTTTTAAAATTAGACCGAGCGATTTTTTGAGAAGCTATTTAGAAGAATGAATTTTGCGCATTATTTATGACGTGTAAAGAAAACGTCGAAAAAATTGCAGTTGATTGGAATTGAAGAATCGCGAAGAAAATTGTAAAGAGTAAATGTCGCATTTTACAACTTTTTTATCCGAACTTAATTAACATCTTTATGAGCTATAAACGGTTAGAAATAATGAAAATCGCAGTTATTTACGACTTTCGGATAACCGTAATAAATTTGAAGATTCTTACGGGGAATCTTCCGATGGCTGTCGCTCGTTTCTGCATCAGCAGATTTCGATAGAACGTTCAGCATGTCTATAACTGGTATAAATCTACAAAACGTATCGTTTCGATTTTCGTTACAGACCCAGCTACAAAGGTTGTAAAACGCGGCCTTCTTTATTATTTTTCTCGCGATTCCGATCGATCGAAACTTTTTACGAAATCTTTTAATCTTTTTTATTCATCCATTGAATTAATCCTTCCAACTTCTTAAAAAATTTCAAGTCGTTTAGTCCAATTTTTAAAGAGTTGTTTTAAGGCGTTTCGAATACAAATGCGAGCGACTGCATATTATTCTCTTTCATCTATCGCGTGACAAAAACCAGAAGAACGATAAAAACAGACTTATCATATTTTTCCCATGTGATTTTTATATACACGTTCCTTCGGTGTAATTTTTATACTTTACACGCAATGGATTAGCTTTTTCACTTTATCCATGATTTTCAAATCATTTTTTTTGTTGTGAATATTCGAACGATGTAAGTATTCGCGCGCCAACAGGTAATTATAAACTTTTCAGACGCTTAAACGTGAACGTCGTAGGAATGCCAAACTGGTTGGGACTGTTTGTCACGCCAAATCGAAAGGTTCTTGAACCTTGAATTAATATGCGCCGCGTTTTCCATTCGGTGGAGCGCAGAACTGCGATCGTTCGCAATACGCGATCGGTATATAGTTTTGAATCTTTCGCGGGTCGGTTTATTATCGTCGTTTGACGCCTTGGCGCTGACATGCAGCCAGTCCGATTGCGGCAACTCTACGATTAGATAAAACGTTTCGAAATGGTGTTCGGTCGTGGAAAGTTGAAACGTGTCTCTTCCTTTCCCCTTTTTGTTTCCTTAATTAAAATCATGGTTGTTGCTAGTGACGCGATTAGGAACCAGTTTTTGAACGTGTATAAGTCTCTAGATGTGGAGATGACACTCTGAATTTCAAGGCTTTTCTCGTCGTGAAAATGTCATGGCCGATTATTAGATAACAAAGATAAAAAGTAAGAAAAAAATAGACAATACTACAAATTCGAGTGAAACACGACAATAAAAATATTCAAGCTGTATGCAACAGCGGATAAAGGATAAGAACAAATAGAAAGAATTCGGTGAATATATGTTGCAAAAAAGATATTCGCTTTAAAATAAAATATTCAGAAAAAGATACTTCTGAGTTGAAAATACATTAGCGGGATCCGAAGTAGGAGAAAATAAATTTCCATGAATTTAAATTAATACGATGATAAATGTGACGATACAGACGCTATTGGGTATATCAATTTTGTAAATTATAAATATTTCAGAAATTACTGCCTAGATATACCAATACGTAAATAATATTGTTGCTAAAATAGATATTAATTATTCAATCGAATTCGATTCGTTTTGTTCGTGATTAACATTCATCGATATAACTGTAATCGATATAACTGTAAATCTTCACTCATCGAAGATTCATCGGTGAAATTGCAAGATTTGATATTCCATTCTTTGCCTATCACTTCGAAGGCACAAGTAAAATTCCAAGTTACAAAAATCTCGCAAATCTACGAGTTGCCCAAACTAGACGAAAACGTTCCCAGCATCCGCACACGTTCCACTAATCGTGATTCGCCCTTCGTCATCATCACGACCCCATGTACTCGACCCCCGGTGACCGGAAACGGAACGGATAACTCTCACTCACCGTTTAGCCGTGATTCCATCATTGACTTGACTGAAGGATCGACCGGCGGTCGTACGATTCGACGAGCAGAGACGATGCCGTTGTCGTGTCAGGCAAATACGATATATCACGCATTAGTAGGTGATGTATAAACGAGGTTCTCTCCTCTATATAAACGCGTTGGGGAACTCGGTGACTCGAGCTCTGACCTTCCTTCCTCGTTACGATCGACTTCCCTCTCTCCGTATCTGTCGTCGATGCTCGTCGACGACAGCG